TAACTAATAAATTAAATTAAATTAAACTTAAATTAAACTAAACTAACTAACTAACTAACTAACTACTAGTAGTAGTTATTATATATATTTTTTTGTAAATTGTTTTTTAATATTTTTATTAGATTCCTATTTTTCAACATTAGACACTCAAAATTTCAAGTAAATTAGATTTATAAAAATAAAATATAAAACCAAAATTCAAATACAATGCAATCATAACTATTGGATCAACCCATATTCAATCTGAGTCATTAGGCATATGGGATAATCTAAAGTTCACAACCCTTCAAATTACAAAAGTTAATGATATAATGAATTGTGAAGAGTGAATTTACTAACTTTGTGATTCATTTTACAATAAAAAATACTTTTTGATAACCCTTCATATTACAAAAGTTAATGATCTAATGAGTTGTGAAGAGTGAATTTACTAATTTTATGGTTCATTTTACAATAAAAAAATACTTTTTGAAATATCAATTTTAAGTAAGGCTAATTTTGTAAATATCACTATAAAGACAATGGGTACTTTTGTCATCTCTACTAGGGATAAAACTAAACATTTTACTAAAAGACGAGCTTTCTACAAATAAAGTTTTAGAGCACTAACTTCCAAAATGTCATTATACTTCTGTAGAAATTTCAAATTGTTTTTATTTAGTGGTAAAATTACATATTAAAATAATTTTTTAAACAAAAAGTAATGATCTTTTTGTTAAATACACCCGTCACAACCCCTTCCTTTATATTTTGAGGGGTTGATATATATATAAGGTTTGTCTAGAGTTAACATCTCAGAATACAAAATATACTCAAAATACAAAATATAAAGTTAAATGATCATTATTTTTTAATTAAAAAATTATTTTAATAAGTAGCTTTACCATTGAGCGAAAGTAAATTTGAAATTTTCACAAAAATACAATGGCATTTTGAAAGTTAGGATTCTAAAATTTTATTTATAGATTGTCATTCTCTTTTAATAGAAATTTCAACTATACATTTTATGGAGTTGACAAAAGTACCCCATGTATTGTAGTAATATTTATAAAATTGCCCATTTACTTAATCATGAAAATATCACAAAAATTAATTTTTAAATAATAAAAATAAACTACAAAATTAATAAATCCACACTTCACAACTCTTTTTATCTTTAACCTTTTTAATTTGAAGGGTTGTAAAATTTAAATTATAATAGTATTAGCCCAATGGCCCAGATTGAATTTGAACCAACTAGATTGAATTTGGGCCAATTCAATAATTACGATTGTAATTCATCTTATAATTTTAATTTTTTTCTATAAATCCAAATCACTTGAAATTTAGAGCATCTATTTTTTATATAGATTCGAATCTAATAAAATATCAAAAAAATAATTTGTAAAAATTAAATTAACCAAAATAATCCTAAAAAAATTCAAGGGTATTTTGATCAATTTATTTTTTACAAATTATCTTTCTAATATTTTTATTAGATGAGCCATGATGAAAAGAGTGAACACCCCAAATTTCATGTTATTTGGATTTATATAAAAAAAAAAATTGCAGGTGGATTTATGTAAAAAAATTATATTACGAAATGCAATCGTGACCATCAAATCGACCAAAATTTAATCTAAGCCGTTGAGCTTATACTATTCCATTAGTTAGTGGGTTGACCTTATCTTTTTTCATATATATCTATATATGGGAAAAGTTTATATAGAGCCGAGGCTCTAAACAATCAAATTTGAGCCTACCTCAAAAATTTCACTAGGACAAGTTGTTTTGATGCCAAAATACTTCAAATTGATCATCTCAACATCAAGATTGGACAAGAGAAAAAAACGGATTGCAAGTTTTGGAAATAGTGTATTTTGTAACGCATTTTTGAACCTTCAATTTTCAAGATTTCATAGATATGTCGATCGACACTATTTTTGAAGCTTTAAACTTTATAAATAAATATGAAAATATATTTTTAAGCCATCACAAAGATTTCCAATATTAAAACCACATTTTTCAACACTATTTGAAGGTATGCTCTAATTTGATAGTTTACAGCCTAAGCTCTATACAAACCATACCCTATATATATAGGGTGGGTGCGCTCACACTATAGAGCATTTTATAATTGTGCTCGACAAATTTGACACTTACATACCTTTATTTTGTAGTACGATATTTTTTAGTAAGAGTATTTTTTATCATTAAGAGAGGTGTAACATTATCCACATGAGATGTGACATCACCTGCATGGAGCATTAAATGCCACTAATGTACTCCATATAGATAATGTCACACTCCACCCCACCCCACCCCACCCCAACCCATGTGGATAATATCACAGCCCTCCTAATGACCCAAAATACTCTTACTAAAAAAATACTCCATGTACAAAACAAACGTATATAAATGTCCAAAATTTGTTAAATACAATTATAAAATGCTCTATAATGTGAACACCCTAACATAACCCTATATATATATATATATATATATATATAAAGAAAACTATATCATAATTAAACAAAACCACAATTACCATTTACAGATGACAAAATGCATGATGTCTAGTATAGATCTTAAGTGTATTAGAACTCGAGAATAAATAACCAGATACTTTGTCAAGAAAATACTCAATCAGATTATTATGCTTTGGGAGAAACACATTATTCAACAAGAATAGGTACAAGTCTGTCACCAAAAATATGGGGACAAAATGTTCCTACATTTTTAATGGATTTCATAAAATTCCCACATTCATCTCCTATTAAGGCTATTGGCAAGATTTTGTTTTTTTAATGGTTTATCAAAACCACAGTACTGACTTGTTATGGAACCATGAAAACCAGTAATATAAGGGAGCATAAGAATTTCTTTAGGGATTTTGTATATTTCCCACATTAGCTAGATCTTATTTTTTTAATGACTTGGATGCAATAGAATCATGAAAATCAACAATATAAGGGTGGGGATAAGAATTTCTAGAACAATAAAATGCCAATACCTATGCGACCAATCCTCATTCCAGATCTAGCAAGGGCTCGAAGTGCAGATTGCGCCCCAAGCCCAGGGGTCTTCGTTTTGTTTCCCCCAGTTGCACGGAGCTTGATATGAAGAGCAGTAATCCCGAGTTCCTATAAAACAAAATGTAAAAATAACACATTTACTAAACATAAATAAGGGAAAACAATGCAAACCATAAAAAATAATTAAAAAGCTTAATCATTGGGCAATGAGGAAATAAAAAGGCAAATCCTTCCCACGGCGCAAAAAAACACACACTGTTCAGAAGATCCAATCATTGGCCATTCTAAACAATCTCTTAGGGAAGCATATCATGGTCTGCTTGCATTAGCCATAAGGCCTGATTCACCGTGGCCGAACAGTGTGACAATTTGGACAGTGGGCTACTCAGTCCTCACACCTCAGACGTGAACAAAAAGGCAATGAAAGATGTTGCATGAACTTCAAGGGTTCTTTTTATCACCACCTAACAAAGACAGCCTAGTGTGGGAATCAAAAAGCAATGATGACCTTACCCTGAAGTCTGTACCAAACCATAACCTCGATTGAGGAGGAGAACTCAGTTGGTAGCTTGAGTGTGGTCTGTTCCTGCAACCTGAAGAGTGAAGGTGTCACGACCCCACTCCCTGGCTCCTACCGTTCTCGTCGGAGGGTAGCAGGGTACGGGTTCGTGATTCAGAAGTAGCGAACGTTACTCAAGACAGAGTGGCGCATTGCTTTGATGAAGCGGTTACTCAAGCAAACCAAGAAAGTAAAGAAACTCCATAAAACAATGCACCAGATCTCGGTAAAATAAAATTGAAACTTATATTATTACATAAACAATGTGGAGTAATATAATTGTTCAAGACACCGAAGGCCTGGGTACATAGTATCTAACTTCAATATATACAAAAACATGGCCCGCGGCCGCTAGACACATAAAAGCAAAAGATCTCCTCGACAGGTACGAGCCTTCGTCAACCAGATCGATCACCCTACCGATTGTTCTTGACCTGTAGCTTCTATTCTACAGGGATGGAAAAAGAGGAATGAGCTATAAAGCCCAGTAAGAGGATCTAGTTGCTATGCTCAGTGATATACCCATTCAGGCATCATGAATAATTCTTTTGACTATAAGCAATCACAGTGAAAAAAGCATTCAATTTAGCAATCTTATCAATATAATCATCACGGATGGCATATCCAATATCATGGCTATCATATAACCAATATAACTATCATCATTCACATTCACACATCCAATCATTAACCACTCACTCCTTAGATTCATCTATTCCCGAAATAGAAGCGTTATTCATCAAGCCAAGCCAAATCCCATTGTTTAGGACTTCTACCATCACTCGGGAGAGAGGGCAATGACAATGAGTGTTCTATTCGGTAATGCCCTAACAATTACACACATAGTCTCCAACATGCTTTAGGGCTTTGATAGACACTTTCCTTGTAAGGAACGATTTACTATTTACTTCTTATAATACACTAAATTTCGAGGGACGCGACCCACCCATTACACTTTCCACCTAATTTTCCTCCTGCCCTACACTCTTATCAAGTCACATCATACCACCACGGGTAAACCGTGAGTGGCGCCACTAAATCACTGCACTATTATCAATCACAAAAGAGGGTCATGCTTGGAGCATGCCTTCAGAGCACTCTTCACTTAGCATTCATTCTTTGGCACTCAGACCTTTCACATTGCCAGCACATAGAATTTCATTGCATAGCATTCATTATATGGCACTTCAGCACATGAATATTACATGGCACTCACTAATTAACATTCACACTCATGTCATGATACTCTCTACATAGTATGCACATTCACTATTTAGATATCACATAACATTCACTAAATAGCATTCACATCCCTTTCATGGTATTTACTGGATAGCATTCATATTCACCAATTAAATACCACATAACATTTATTAAATAGCATTTCATTCACTGCATGGCATTCACATTCACTAAGTGAATATCATATAACATTCACTAAATAGCATTCATACTTGAGCATGTACAATTTTTGAAAAGTTCTATCAATAGTGACCTAATCCTCATAAAATGGGCGTAGCTTTCAATCTAGGGGGGTTTTCACGAAAGTTTTTACATGTAATTTTGAGTGTTCCCATAAACCTCTCTAATGGTGGTGATTTGGAAAAAAAAGATCTCTTTTGGTCAGTCAAAATTGGTGGCAACAGTGACATCAGTTCTAAGTTTCCATAATAGCTACCCACAGTGACATGTCTTCACATTTAATCATGTAACTCTCAAATTAAGAAGAATTTCAAAAAGTGCTTAACATGTGATTTCAAGCTTACTCATAACTCTTTAAAATGACTATGGTTTAGAAGAAAACGGCATCATTTGGTCGTTTAAAATGCATGACCACAGGAACATCAATTCTGCACTTTATTAAAGCTGTCCACAGTGACCTATTTACACAATTAAGTGTATAGCTTCTCATTCATGAAGAATTTTAACATGGTTTTAACATGAATATTATAGTAGACACATGTACGGTTCAAATGGCAGTGATTTGGAGGTATTTGGACACTTATTGGTTGGCCAAAAGTTTGGTAAAAAGTAGGTGACAGTGGCTGGAATTTTTGTTGTCTGTCAACAGTGACATATTATGGACTGTAAATCCTAAAATATGAAGAATTTCAAGATAGTACAAGAAGTAAAATTATATTAGACAAGCATATCTTTCATTCAAAACTGATTTGGATCCATTTGGCCACCATCTGGTCACTGAACAATTCGATACAAAAGCACCCACAATTCATGAAAATTTCATTCCCCAATTTTACTACCTACTAAAGCATAAATAATGTCTTTCAAGCCAAAGTCTAATATTCAGTCAAAACCCTCTTCAACTTAACTAAATTTACCCGAAGATTTTACAAACATTTTCACAATTAACATAAGCTAACCAAGCATGGATTCTAACACTTAATTTCCAAGATTTCAGGCTTACTTTGCACATCCATACACATGATCCTACATTCAACTCTTCTAACCTCATGCTTGAATAAAATTAGTAATACATAGCTTTTAAATCCACCTATCTGATGAGAAACAGTGCTCCCAACTCCTTACATCATCTCCTCAAGCTTCCACAGTGAGCTCTAATGGAGCAGTGGGTAGAAAACTTAAGAGTTTGCCCTAGAGAGAGAGAGAGAGAGAGAGTACACCTAACACCTCATAAAGGAGGTGTCAAATTTAAATGAAATGGACTTGCTTAGTCGCCACGCCACTTAATGAGAGGTAAAAGTAAGAAAAAGATGGTGGACCGAATGTCCATTTTATAAAGATAAACCCTCAATTATTATGCAATGATATATTAGCAAGGGTGCGATCATGTTTTAGGGCTAACTTATTTAACAATAATATCACATTATTTATTGTTAATCAATATTTATATTAATAATATAAAAATTTGAGTTATGGTATCAGTGCAGCCAAGATAGGATCCTTGGCTTAGAGGGTTGTAGAAGTGTCTCTAGAATTGTTTTGGCTAAGCAGCCAAGATAGGATCCTTGGCTTAGAGGTTACAGAAGTGTCTCTAGAATTGTTTTGACTAGGTTGGTGACTGAGTGTTCCTAGAATTATATTAATAATTTTATATTATTAATATAAATATTGATTACCAATAAATGATGTGATATTATTGTTAAATAAGTTAGTCCTAAAAAATGGTCTCACCCTTGTTAATATATCATTGCATAATAATTGAAGATTTATCTTTATAAAATGGATATTCGGTCCACCATCTATTTCTTTTTCTCTTACTTTTACCTCTCATTAAGTGACGTGGCATCTAATCAAGCTCATTTCATTTAAATTTGACACCTCTTTTATGAGGTGTTAGGTGTAATCTCTCTCAAAAACTCTCTCTCTAGGACAAACTCTTAAGTTCTCTACCCACTACTCCATTAGAGCTCATTGTAGAAGCTTGAGGAGACGGCGCAAAGAGTTGGGAGAAGTATTTCTCATCAGGTAGGTGGATTTAGAAGCTATGTATTACTAATTTTATTCAAGCATCAAGTGTAGAAGAGTAGAATGTAGGAACATGTGTATGGATGTGCAAGGGTAAGCCTGAAATCTTGGAAATTAAGTGTTAGAATCCATTCTTGTTTAGCCTATGTTAATAGTGAAAATGTTTGTAAAATCCTCCTGTGAATTTAGTTAAGTCGAAGAAGGTTTTGACTGAATATTAGACTTTGGCTTGAACGACATTATTTATGCTTTAGTAGGTAGTAAAATTGGGAAATGAAATTTCCATGAATTGTGGGTGTTTCTGTATCGAATTGTTCAATGACCAAATGCACGCTGGGGACTGTGTGTGTAAGTATAAGGGCATTACCGAATAGGACACTCATTGTCATTGCCCTCTCTCTCGAGTGATGGTAGAAATCCTAAACAATGGGATTTGGCTTGGCTTGATGAATAGGGCTTCTATTTCAGGAATAGATGAATCCAAGGAGTGAGTGGTTAATGATTGGATCTGTGAATGTGAATGATGATAGTTATATTGATTATATGATAGCCATGATGTTCGATATGCCATCCGTGATGATTATATTGATAAGATTGCTAAATTGAATACTTTTTCCACTATGATTGCTTATAGTCAAAAGAATTATTCAGATGCATAGCAACTAGATCCTCTTACTGAGCTTTATAGCTCATTCCTCTTTTTCCATCCCTGTAGAATAGAAGCTGAAGGTCAAGAACAACCGGTAGAGTGATCGATCTGATTGACGAAGGCTCGTACCTGTTGAGGAGATCTTTTAATTGTATGTTTCTAACGGTCGTGGGCCATATTTTGTCTATATTGAAGTCACATGTTGTGTACCCAAGCCTTCAGTGTCTTGAACAATTATATTACTCCAAGTTGTTTATGTAATAGTATAAGTTTCAATTTTATTCTACCTAGATCTTGTGCATTTTTTTATAGAGTTTCTTTACTTTCTTGGTTTGCTTGAGTTACCGCTTTATCAAAGCAACGCGCCACTCTGTCTTGAGTAGCGTTCGCTACCTCTGAATCACGAACCCATACATGCCACCCTTCGACGAGAACGGTAGGGGCCAGGGAGTG